AAAACTAATGCCTTAAAAATTTAGGTATCACAAGTTGTTAAAGAGATGAGAAATCAACGTGCGTCAAGCGTACAAAATGAAGCGCAATATGTGTTTATTTATACTACTGTACTCGATTACATTAAAGTAAGATTTATTCAAGAATAGAGGTGAAATGAGTGTAAATTGAAATAAAGTAAAAATTCTAAACTGCTACATCTAAATTGATTTTCTATTTCAAAGTCTGATAATTAGTCATTAAGTTAATGATAAAGAGGAATACGTGCATTTCTAAGGTATTCAATTTTTTATCCGCTACACTCATTCCATATCACTAATATCCTGAAAGCATTATTTAACAAGCTTTATTTAGTTATTCGAGAAATGAATGAAAAAAAAAAATTTTTTTTTGAAATAATCTCTTCTAACTTATTCCATAATTTCATACTTCAGGCGAAATTACCATTGAAATATCGTGAATTCGTTATTTCATTTCATGCAGCAGTAAAGAAGGCAAATATGATCTGAAACAACTTTCGCCTTACATTCTCACTTCTTGCAAGAGAAGTAAAAAATTTAAATTCAAAATGAAAATAGTTGGAATATTTAAATAAATCGCATTCACTCATCGCATTTACTTTTTTTTTAATGAGAAATATCGCTAGAATATATCACATTATTGGTATCATACAATAACAAGACTGATATTATCATATCATTATCATCCAATCACTAAATTAAATTTATTTTTATTGCTCAATCATTGACCACTTTGTTTATAGTAAAAATCATGGCAGTTATCATTCAAACAGTTATCATTTCAAAAAAATTCCAAATAAAACAAATACTGATGACTTTCATGCTTTTAACTTATAGCCATAATTGTTTCATCCATTCATTTACTAACTGAAATATCCTCTCTCTCTCTCTCTCTCTCTCTCTCTCTTTCTCTCTCTCTCTCTTTCTCTCTCTCTCTTTCTCTCTCTCCAAATTGATCTTTTTACGATTTATTGTTTGTTTCCAACTAATTGACACCATTACTTATACTTTATTATTTGTTCCTAACTAATCGACACCACTTTATACTTTATACTTTGCATTTTACCATGTAATTAATTGGTGTAATAATATGAGCATGACATTAATTAATTAATAGTTGTTGTCGTAACTATTCCCATCCAAATATTTTCACTGATTGTCACACCTCCTTATCTGATAAGCAATACCGCGAGAAGAGAGGTCTGTCATATGACGAGACGAGATCCCAAATGGATGGGAAATAACAGTTTCACGGAATTTTGTTCAAATACTTTTGCTTCAAAGGTATCAACCGTTGTTTGCTCATCCATTCTTTACGGTTGGTTCGTTGGGAGTGGTGACTTTTTTTTTTTGTGCTCTTTGGTGTGGAATTGAAGTTCAGTTTCATTTTCAAAACATTTCGATATTAGCAAAAAAAAAAATGATTGCAAGCAATGAAATGACACGACGAACAAGTAATCGGATTCGGAAGACGAAACAAACATACAGTCCACCCGCTGATGATAACACTTCATTTAGTATGATTTATTACTAATGTAGTAAATATGCATTCAATTTAATTGGTTATTCTGAATCAGCTATTAGAAAAGTAAGCAATAGTGGTGATTTCATTTAAAGATTGCATTCATTTTTAACTTCTACATTTCATGTTTCTTTAATTATTGGCTAATTTAATTTAGATATTCCATCTACATCGAAAAAAATTCGACAAGAATCTCGCAATATTTCCTTAGACAATTCAAAATCGTTGTCTGAATTAAGCGCTAAAAAGGTGAATGTTTGAATATGACCTCCCTAAATAGACGCTTATTAAATGATCCTAAATATATTTATTAATTTATGATGTATCTGATGATTGGTTTACTTAAGTTTCAACATTGTACTGTTGGCCAAAACCAACTGCTGCAATTGTTTAATTAATAATTGTTATAGGTTACGAATGATGAGGAACACGATAGTATAACATTGAATCATAATACTTTTTGGAATTTTGCTACTACATTGGGGTTTGTGTTATTTGGAAAAGTACTTTGATCTGAGCGATAGCTAGAATATTCTCAAATATTTAAAGTGATAAGTTCTTTTTATCTGAAATTTAAATTCTTTTTGGTTACTTTAAGACACATGGCTGTAGCGCAACACGATTCTGTTCAAAATCCTTGCAAGTTAGGAGTAACATTCTGTGATTTGTTGTAACTGTTTCTGTCTTTAAGTCATCCGATCATGCGTGAAAAAGTCGCTAATGATAAGGTAATCACACTGTTACTGAAAGAAGTATCCAGGGCAATTCGTCACTTAATTTTGGAAGCTAAATTTGTCATGCAAAAAGCCGAAAGACAAAAGCTCTTGTGCGACGATTTAAACACATGCATCGAAATGGAAAATGGAAAGGTGGTCCTAATAAAATATAAAACTTTTCTGAGATACTATGACTGCATGCGCCTATTTTTGGTAGTGTCATCGATAAAATAAAAACACGCTACAATATCAATGTTCATACTTCATTTTCACTGACATTTACTTTCTAACGCTTATTTTCCTGTTTAGTTTTTTTCATAAGATTAATTTCAGTTGCTGTTCGGTTTCATGGAGGATAATAAATGGCAAAAGATTGGTGATGTATTTGTGCCTAGTGATGAAGTTCTTGACTTAAGTTCGTGCTCTTCAAGTGTTCAACTAAAAACACTTGGCAGCAGGTAACTTTTAAGATAGTGGTTGTTTGCATGAACTTCAATAAGGGAATGAATGGGGGAACAAAAAAGTTCAGATTTAATGAGGGATACTCATTAAACAAAACTAAGCTTTTTTGTCACGAAAATGAAGCGCATTAATTTTCAGATAATTAATGATATTACGAGATTGACAAAATGAGAAGGTCCGAGAAAGAGAAAGTACAGTATCGGGCACAGAATATGTCCTCAGGAGTTACTGAACCACCATGTATGACCCATACCGCTTAAATAGAGCGCATATTTCATGTGTATCTCATTTCTTTCCCCTCTGAGTTTGTTACTAGATAAAAGATGGCTAGGTTAGATTGGCCCGTTAACCCACTTCTCTTTATTAATTTGGAACAGTGCTACATCCATTTTGATATATTCTTTGCTGGACATAAGCACCAAGTACAGCAAGTTTACCATTGTTTCATAACTATAAAATTGATTTTTGTTTCAAATGGAAACTCTGAACATCGACTCAATTTATGCAAGCAATAAAATGCTCCAAAAATCTCCATATGAATGGTGCAATTTTGAATAAATTTTGAATAAAGCAATGAATAAACGAAGATTGTGTTTTGGTAGAATGAGAAGACTTGATGAACTCAACAAATTTATTTCAATCATAAACCAAAAAAAGAAAAGAACGTTAAGTGAGTCTTTTAGGCTTTTTGTGCGAGTTCCTTTGCTCTTGCTTTTTCAATTCGTGCCTTCTTTGCCTGTGAACGAGCTGACATAATGCCACCTCCCCAATGTTTCCGGATTTCATCGGCACGTTCATTATAATTCGTTATTACTGTATCCTTCAATTTCGACAAAGCCATCTTGTCCTCACTGAAACTTCAACTTCTTAACATCTAACAAGTGCTGATACCAAAAAGTTACCGACGAAATATAAAGTTGCAACATTTCAAAATATTGAAATGCAAGAAAGCTGAGGTGTAAACTTAGTTTACCTATGCGGAATGAGAGCCTAAAGGTTTGCAGTTAGGAAATAAGGTAAGAACACTTGTTCGAGCTAGAGGTATCTGCATAGTTTCATAAAACTTTGTGCACTGAATTTCTCAGTATCCAGGAAAAACAGTATCACTTACGGATTCGTATCAACTATAGCAATGCAAGAGGTAGTCTTTCGATGAACAACTTGACCAAGACGTGCCTTTCCCTTAACAATGCAGTATGGCACCTGTAAAGTCCAGATCTTAATGAAAAAGTATTGGAAATAATTCACTCAGCAACCAGTACGGATTATGGTTCAACAACCACAATGACTTTCAAAACTTGTAGATGACGAAAATACATATTACTATAAAAAATAAAAAAAAAATTATATTAGCTAAACAGAAAGAAATTGTCACCCACTTTAAATTTACGACAAAGTGCCGGAAGGAAAAGAACAATTTCAATAGGTTCAACATCATGCGCAATAGCAACCAGTTGTGCCTTTTTTTGTTCTACAAGTTTCGTGACATGGTTTACACCTGAACGAACCACCGGTGGACGCTTTGTTACTTCTTCAGTTTTGCCTGCTACCCGAGCTTCCGCACGCGCCTTTAATCGTTCCTTCTTCTGATGCTTTGTTTCTGGACGATATTTGTCCAGCAAACGGAATAGTTGCGTCGCTGCAAAATAGAATTAAACGGAAAATACCAAGAATCTAGTAGAAATTTCTTTCAAAAAATATTGTCTTGGAATTCCAAACTTTTTCTTAAAACCAGACCCAGAGGCTTAATCAACGCTGCCAAAACATCCATTTCTTTGCTAATTTTAAACATTATCAAATAACACCTTTCCATTTGTATCAGATAAATCCTGGACAAGAACTTAAAAAAAAATGAATGTTGAGATGAACAAATAATCGATCTTTCACTTGCTAAATGTGAAAAATATAGTACCAGAACTTACCTGTCTGTTTGTCAAGCGTTGTACGAAATTGATTAATTGGTGGTGGAATTTTTAAACGTTTCATCAAAACAGCCTTTTGACGTTGCAAACGAACATACTTGGGCCATCGCACAAATCTAGTCAGATCTCGTTTTGGTTGAATGTCTTGTCCTGAAAACAAAACAAATTATCCATTTTTTTGCACTTAACATAAAAAATCCCTAATCACTAAAAAAAAAAACAATTCACACCTATTGAAAAATTGCGTGGTCGCTTCTCGAATAGAGGATTTTGTTCTTTTTTCGGTGCCTCCGATTTCTTAGCCAATGGTGGCGGAGGAGCAACTCTCTTCTTAATGATTTTCTTTGAAGGCTGCAACACTTTAAAGATGAAATATGATTTCAAAAAAAAAAAAAAATTTTTTTTTTCAAAATAATCTTGTAAAATTAAACAATTATTTAAAAAGAGTTACCATTGTTCAAGTTTCCACTCACACTGCAACTATCAAAAAGTATTGATAAACGATAATTGGAAAGCACAAAAGTTGATATTTTATCAACATTCTTCATTATAATTGTTGAAATTGATTAGCATTTAAAACAAACCAAATAATTGGAAAGCATTTCATTAAGAGATAGTGAAATGTACAAAAGTGATAGGAGGATAACATTCGAGACAAAGCCGCCAACAATAAACCAAAGAAAAGAAATGAAACACTTTAACGACTCACCATATTCACTTGTAATTGCACCCTAAAAAAGAGTTCCAATCGGTCGAATACGGTCAGTTATCCTCCAGTAACAAACTGAAAACACGGCCGCGGCCCGTCGAATAGAACCGATACAAAGCATCGAAATTTCTCGACGATGGCTGCCTGATTGTGGAGATGGAGAGAGTTTAATGTGAAAATGTGGAACTGATGAATGTCTCTGGAAGTGAGTCATTCGAGAATAGATATGATCGAAAAGAGACAAACAGAGAGATGATGAGACATTTTAAAACAGCTTAAAATAATGATTGAAACGATCTGCACAATCCATTTTCTAACATTGAAAGGCAGTAAATATGTATGTATAGTTGCAGAAAGTTTGAAACTTGGCGAAATATCATGAAATGATAGTTGTGTGAGAGAAAAAGAATTGAAATGATGAAAATGACAGCACAAAAGTCGAGCGTTCTCGAAATAGCAACATACTTCATGGTAAGCAAAATTTAGCTTTTCTTGAATTTGCTAAATAATGGATTTTTTTTTTTTTAGAAATTTCTATTTTTGGAAATAAAAATATAGCTGTATTAAGATAGTTATATTTATTAATTTCTCAATTCTTAGGAAATGAATGAAATGGTACAATGAAAATGAGTAAATTTTACAAGTATATATTCTTTATGGTATGATATACAGAAGATCCAGAAGAGTTTTGTATTGAGCATTATGAACGTTTCTTTATGAAAATTAGAGATAGACAACTGTAAGGCAAATATACCGGTAATTCTTGCTGATGACGATAGTTATTAATGCAGTTTGAATTTGAGAACATATCTTTTCTAAAAGTGAGCATGATCTAGTTAGCTTTTTTTTTACATTAAAAACCCTAATTGCTAAAAATCAGGTATTTGATAAAATTCCATGCTTTAAATTGTCTTTAATTGATTATATAAATATTTGCAACACCACCTGCTTGCATTATTTCCATGTCCTTTATTTTTCTGGTCATCATATTTCAGTTATGGTTGGTGTGTTACATTATAAAGTGTAGTTAATGTTTACTATTACGTTATGACATTCTCTGGCTACAATTCCTACAATTAACTCTTGATCGCTTTCCTTGTCGGTTGTTCAATCTGGTTATTTTAGTTTGTTTCTGATATATTTTCTGTCTTTTTTTCATTACTAAGCACTGTTTTCATATTGAAGAGAGGAGAAATTTTCCAACTAAGGTTTCAAATAATTTGTATAGCCATTTCACAGAATATTAGAATCTATTTCGTGAGTTTTTAAACAAATCCACTTATTTAATAAATTTCAGAATCAAAATTTATCTTCCAATACTCTCAGTTTGCTTGGTTCAAAACAAATGTAAGTAGATTTTCCAATAAATTTTTGTTTGCAGATTATGAATGAGGACGCTGAAAATTTGTTAAGCAAAACATCAGATAATAACGAGTCTGCAGTGCTTTCCTTTAAAAATGAAACAACAAAATTAACATTCGCCGATGATACTAATATTGTTTGTTTTTTTTTTACTGTTTTTGATGTTTAAGAATTTTTAATAAATAAGTTTTGTTGATAGATCTAATTTTTTAATATCTATACATATTTTCCTTTGCTACCGTAGCTTCCAGTTCGTTCGTTGATTTCCTTTTTTTTAAGTCGATTTCATGTCATACTTTCGCAATACTTTTTTACTAGGCTATGTTTTGCTTTAGGGAGTGACTTTTTTCATTCTTTTATAGTACGACATAGAATGGATGTAGAAAAAAACAACTATCATCAGAATAAGACATGGAATCAATTAAATGCTTTCAGGATAGCAAGGATGGAACGATCAGCATTGAACCAAAATATGCAAGTGAGCTTATAGGCAAAGTATCAGAAATGGATCCAGCGGAACATCGTATTAGCTATCGGTGAGTTTTCTTATAGGAATAGTATATGAATTATTTCATACATGCTGCCGAAAATAATTGCTATGATGTAGTGACCTGGGAAGTGATTACTTTCCTTCAGATTTAATATTTAAAACTAAAAAACTTCAAGCTTTTATTAGGGTTTGCAGAGTTTATCCACAGCGTTGGATCGTTTTAGCAGTTGTTGCATTATTGAACAATTCAAATACAATGTCATGGATTGCATTTGCTTCTATTTCCAATTATGTCGACGCTTTCTATGGAATGGTGAATTAGATTTCTTGCTTCTATATTAATCCTATTCTAATAATTTTCAATTATCATGATTCAGTGATGGAAGTTAAAAGAAAATTAATTCACTTGCTTTATTATAAAGAGTTGCTTTACTGGAAAATTGTTTTTACGCAGTACATTTATATTAGAATATTTTGAGAATTTCATTTTATCAACTTTGAAAATGCAAAGAAAAGTTATTCTATCCGACAATATTTTCTTTGTTTCTCTATGCTTTACTGGTCAGCTGTTATTTTGCAGAATAAAGCAGCGAATTGGTTTTCACTGATTTTTATAATCTGTACAATACCGGTAGGCTTATTCGGCATATGGATGAGTAGTTCTTTTGGGCTTCGACTTGCCATTCTCATCGCAGCTTGGACAAACGGTATTGGTGGCACTATTCGTCTTATTAGGTAGGATTCATTTTTGGGATCGTTTGATATGATGATATTATTATTATTGAAGGATATGTGCAGTAGATATTTATTAATAGTTATGGGTATTAGTTTTTATTTCCAAGATTAGAGTAATTTTACCGAATAAGGGACTGAATTGGACTGAAATTTATGACTTCTTATCCACATCTTTGAAGTGAGATAACGAGAAGTCTTCCTTTATTTTGCTCTCAAACTGAAATAGTTACTCTAATTCGTGTTACAGAACACACATGTATTTACATTTTTCCACACTTTTTTTAGTTCATTTTTGCCACTGCAAATCCGCTTCCCCGTTGGGATTTTTGGACAGGCAGTGGCTGCTTGTGCATATCCGTTTATTATGTTCCTTCCACCAAAAGTTAGTTTTTGAAAATTTTGCTACATTTTTATGGAGATCAAGTTTTATTTAATGATCATTTTAAAGATATAAGACTGAAAAAAGGCAAATTCAGGTTGCGGGATCATGGTTTGCTGAAAATCAAAGAACGTTAGCAACAACAATTGGAATTATGGCAAATCCGTTGGGGGTGCTGATGGCAAATGTTCTTTCTCCTCATATAGTTTCAGCTCCAGTGGATGTAAGATTTCATTTAAGTTAAGGCTCGAGTTTTCTTCTTTGAGGGTCTTTCAAATCCATCGGAATGTTACAATGTTCTGAGTATAAGAATCGTAATCATCTGGAGGCTAAAACTATCCTAAGCGATTCTTAAAACAGAAGAACTGACCTTTATCTTCATTAACTGTAGTGCAGGAAATAGTTGAATTTGAAGTGATAATGTCAGTGTATTTTCAGGTATTAAAAGTGAACATTATAACTTTTGTACCGTCTTTATTGGCTTGTTTGTTAGCAACTTTCTGTGTTACTCGATCGGGACCACAAATAGCGCCATCTCAAAGTGCTGCTCAACCGCAAATGCCGTTCTTTCCTGGTTTGTTTGCTGCTTTAATTCAAGTCAAATATTTTGGAATGTTTCAAATGGAGAGGATTTGAAAACTGTTTCATGTTATAGGTTTTGCAGACTTCCTTGTTGCGCGACTGTCTACTTCTTTGCAGATGCCTTTTTTACTGAATGTATTTACAAAATTATTTGCTTTTATATCATTTTCCCTGTAAATTATGTTGTTAATTTAAAATCGTTGTGGATAGTGCCAGATTATACCAACTTTTGATAATCACTTGTTTTCATCAAAAAGAAGCATTGTTTGGTGAAGGCATATAAAATAAACTGAAAATTCCAAACATTCAAATAAGTTGGGAAAGCTTTTCACCAGATTATAGAAAGATTAAATTCTTTTTTGTTAATTTCAGATATTTTTTTCAGGAATCAAACAGTGTTTTACCAATAAGGCATACGTATTGCTTTTCATAGTGATGGGTGGCGGGATCGGCATGTTTAATTGTCTATACACTGTCATACAGCAGCTATTATGTGCAACGGGATATTCAAATTCGTTCTCCGGATTTTGCGCTGCGTTGATGATCATTGGTGGAGTTTTCGGAGCTACCATTGCAGGTATCTTCTGCTGATTATTTTGTTTTTTATTCTTTCTAAATTTTTAATGTTTCAAAACAACGTATCTTATTTGTTTTATTTTCTTTTTTCTAAACGATGAAAATGAAGCCCTAATAATGGCTTTTTCTTAATTCTTCGGGCTACATCTTTATCTTTCATTTTATTTTTGTAAGCATTTATTTTAGTAAACATGAAAAACTGAAGCTGTCTTCAGGCATGTTTGTTGATCGAACTAAACTTTATGAAGAAACCATGAAAGTATCCATGTCTCTGGCTGTCATTTTTGGGATCATATTTTTGCAGGTAATGTTTCAGTATTCGAAAATTTTCACTCATATAAAATTCTGATAAAATCCAGTGTAATGGATAAAATCTACTCTAATGTTTGATTTTCCGCAATATTATTAATGGAAGTGACTAAACACTGTTGAAGCAATAAAATATATTTACAATAGAAATTTTTTCTTGCGGTTTTTTTACATTGAAGAGTCACCGTTGAGTGATATATAATTTAACTGATTCCAGTAAATCTCGAATCTCTTATTTATATCAGCAATTGTTGCATACTTTCATTTTAGTTATCTCTGCATTCTGGTCTCACTATTTATCTTGTAATCACGGCTTTTCTCTTCGGTGTTTTCGGACTTGCATCATATCCAGTTGGTTTAGAATTAGCCTCCGAGTGTACTTTTCCGGTGTCTGAAACAACCTCATCAGGCGTTGTAGTACTTAGTGGTCAGGTATGCTTTCTTTTTCTTTGTTATGAAGTATCATAATCCCTAATGCTTAAGGACTTCGATGATATTAAGTCTTATAACTCTTGCATGATTTTATCTGATTTTAAAAAAATAAGTCAAATGAATTGAAAAAATTGAAGAACAGTGAATTTTATATCTTGCAGATACATTCAATAATTTACGTAGCTATAATGAGTTTACTCGCACGGCCATTACAACAAGCATATAAAAATATTCAAGTTTGTACAGTTGAAGATGCGATTAATTCTACCGCTGTACCGCAAGATAACTCCATCTCTGTTATCGTCAGTTTATTTTATTTGATTTTTTACTGTTTTTAAATTGAACTGAAACATAATATAATTTTATTGCATTTTTGTTGAGACTGTTATTTTTAACTTATATTTTAGGTATTATCAGCAATAGCTGTCCTACTAGCTGTTATGCTAGTGATGTTTTTCAAACCAACTTATAAACGCATGAGAATGGAGAAAAATGGTTTACTAGTCACGAATGAAAAAGGGGCAAGCGAAATTCGTCAGCTGGACGATTTGAATCGAATCAAAGACGAATCTTTGATACTCTTAGCAGCACAACAGAGTAGTACTTAAAAGTAATGGTGAATTTTTTCCTTGAGAACTAACTACTCTTTTTATGTGAATTTTTATGTGATTTTTACATACTTAATTTTAATTGTATTTTCCTAATTTTTCATGTTGGTGATTTTTTTTTCGAAGAATTCAGTAAAATTTCTTTTGATTTGGTATATGCTCTTACGTTGAATTATATAAAATCACAACCATAAGGCAAGCGAGAAGTCATCTTGGATTTAGGAGAATACATTAGGAAACTGATATCGTATGAAATTCTTACAAAGATTAATTATCAACTTATGCATGCAATTAGTTAGTTTTGCTTTTGTTCATAATTTTTTTCATTGGTTCTTGAATATATAATCTTATAACGTGCATTTATTTTATATTGCTTTTTATAATGAGTAAAAAGATAGAGTAAAAAGTAATAACTAAATTTTTTTTTTGTTTTTTGACAGGAAGAGACAATTTTTTTAATGTATGTTGATATATTAACGAAAAAATGAATATATGTGGTGATACGTCAATCACCACGACAGCTGTAAGTGAACGCTGCCAGATTTCTCATGTACTTATGACAATTGTAAATGATGTAATTACGCTTCATATACCTCTAAAATATATCCTGATTTTTTTCTTTGAGGTAAATTTTTGAAGATATCTGACAAAATGCTTTTATTTTTATCATACGTTATGATATTCCATATAGCGAGTTCGTTCATTATTTGTGCCAATTTCTTATAAGATTTTTTATAGCCAATTTATATGAACTAAAAGTTCAAATACTATTATTTAATTTTATAAGATTCCTTATGGCTAATTTGTTTGTTTACTAATTGAAATATTGGTCGATGTATGAAGTTTTATTTAATCCATTCGTAAATCATTTAATTCAGAGGGGGTAATTTGTTTCAGTGAATTTCCCTTAAATTGGCTACGTTTTCATTTTTTCCGTGATAGAATTGGAAAGAAATGAGTTTACTTACGATTTTGAATTCTAACTCTATTACTGACTTAAAAAATTTAACTTCATATGCTCCATACTTCTTCCGCTTTTCCTTATTTTTATGATTTTAATTCCTATACTATTCCAAAATTTCTATCACGCTTCTAACAAAAGCTGTAACTCCATTCGTAAGAATTGATTTTCATTTCTCTGCAACTTCATTCGTAAGAATTGATTTTATGAAACTTTTAGTAGCATAACTTTTCTACAATATAGCTTTACTCATAATGTAGATGAATAATAAAGGTTTAGAATAAGAAATTTAAAACAGAATTGAAATTTTGTTCTTTTCTTTAACGTGCTTTGTTCATTGACAAAGTTAATTATAGCTTATTTTTTGTGTAAAATAGTGAAAAGTCAGTTTGATGACAAAAAATTGAGATAATTCGAAGTCAATACTTTTTTGTTCCTGAAATTATCGAACTTTAATTCATACGGTATGCTAGTCAAATCATAAGTTTAATTATTGGTGAGTATATTGCTAAACTATAATGCCCATACAGTAGATAATTAAATTGAAGATAATACATTATTCATTACTGAAGGAATATTAAAAGCTCTTGAGGCATTCAGTTTTATTATTTTTCAGTATTCGAAAGAAATGATTTGATCTCCGTAAGATTGAAAATAACCCTCATAAAATCAGCTTTAGTACAAATTTCTTTCAAACACAAGGAAACATGTTAAAGTTAACATAAAATCAGTATCAAACTTCAAAATATGGGCCTTTCTAGAGTTATCCATTAAATAATTTTTTTTTTTTCGAAGCAATGAGTGATATAATATTTATATTTTTCTCTTTTTCGACGTAACATTTTCATCAGTTAACTTTTAACAAATCGATGAATATCTATTTGCACTGTCAAAAAAAGATCGAACACAAAGCTTAAATTACTGTTAAACAAAAATAGTTAAAGAAAATGGTCGGAAAGATTTTACGCTTTTCAATAAATTTATATTTCCAAAGTAGGATGAATATTGAATTATTTATTTTCCAAAATGAAGGAATGAATAATTTGTCGAAAGATAAGCTGAGCAAATTGAAAATACGGAGTAATTTGTTATTTATTGAAATAACTTCGTCAATGATTTTAATGTATATGAGATTATCAATGCATATTATGATCATACATATATCCATTTGATTTTTAGAATATCACTATGGGTAATTATATTTTCTGCAATTAAAATTTCACAAGAAGCTATTTTGCTTTTGATAATCGCCTTTTAATTTCAACGAAAAGTAAAATTCTACAATTATTCATTCGAAAATAAACATTCCTGATAATATGAGGCGTGGAGTTAGAACTGAAGCTTATTATCAGATTATATCCATTACAACTGATACATCCCTATCATAAGCTCAAATCCTATTCAAGCTTGAAAGAAGATTCTTGCAAAAGTCAAATTTTTAAAATCTGACTTTTGCAAGAATCATTTTCAAGCCCAATAATGAAAACGATGTTTCTCTCAAATGCTTAAATAGCACTTGTATAAGACATACTTTACATTGTTGTTGTATCATTAATGGGCATAAAGTGTCAATTTTGTGTAATAAATGATGTGTACCTCTCTATTAAAGCTATGAAAATTGAACCATAAAAAAAAAAATAAGTAAACTAGCGATTTAAATTCAAACTGCAAGTTTGCTTTAGCTTCTTTCCTTCTAATTCCTCAAACATTTCCATTGCTTTAAAACTAGCACAACTGGTTTCTTTTTTTCTTTCTCTTATATCATTCCCTTGAGATATTCCTTTTTACATTTTTATCTTCCTAACTTCACTCTCAACTTGTTGCATTTAAAAAATTTTTCATATTATTTTTATGCTCAATAATATACTATTAATGATGCGTCCACAGTATTGGAGTACTGTATTATGCGTTACCCTTAGTACTGTAGCCCAATACCGTAGTAATAGGTGGAGAAAAAATAAAATAATTTTTTTATTTTTATTTTTTCAATTCTTTTTAGCCTTAAAACTAATTGGATCACAGTTTCATCATTCATTTTCATTATTGCTTAAAGCATAATGATTTAAGCAGGTTCATGCTATTAAGATTATGATTTTCGGTGCATCATTCTATTTGATGCATTAATTAATCAAATATTGTGATTTCTTACCTAGTGAAAGGAAATAAACATTACTCATTACTAAATTTATTAAGTTAATAGCGAAAATTATGAGCTAGCTAGAAGTAAACAATAATAATAACCCAGTATGATGTGATTTTTATAGAATATATAGAATGTTTTTTTCTTTTCTTGAATTTATAATCTCATAAATCAAAAGAAAAAAGAAGCGCTTAAAAATGCAAAACTGGTTAAGATGTGATCATTATGTTGAGTTAATTAATAGTCAACAGTCATTTAATATTTTTGCTGTTCAATAAATGAATTATAATTTCAAGTTAATTCTTTTTTTTTTTCTGTTGAACTTCATCGAATACTTATCGTTCATCTATGCACTCATAATTTGTAATTAAGATTATTTGGCAGTATTTTTTTCAAGCCATTTTATTATATTTTGAATAAGTTTACAAAAAAAGAAAAATTACTAGTGTAACATGTTCAAATCATAAATTTTTTTTTTTAAAATAATCGCCTGAGATTTGACAAGGATTATTTGATTATAAAAAAAATATTAACCAAGCCTTAGAGGCTTCTAAAATTGCAGGATGTTTAAACATATGAGCATTACGCATTTGCTTAATGTGCCTTTCTGAGAGCAAAAGTAAAATGAATTTATTACATTTGAAAAAAAAAAGTATTACGAATAATTGTGATGGAATTTTTAATGAAACGATAGAAAGAATGATTAATTTCAATTTATTTGAAATAAAATTTTCAATAATTCATCTTTATTTTCACCAATCAGCTAAAATTTCTCTGATCCACAAAGAATCAATCTTTTAAACTCATTTCTTTCTTTTTTTTTTAAATGTTTAGCTACCTTTCTTATTTTTGCACGCTCTTCTCCTATAACCCGTTTGTACTGTTATATGAGAAAGCAATCTATTTTTTTGCAATTTAATTTCATTTAAATATTTAACATTTTTTTCTTTGTGGTACAAATTCAATTGCCAATTAATTATATTTTAACACCAACTACGATTTTATTTTTCAAAAAAAAAAAAAAAAAAACTAACACTAAATTGATTATTTGATATTCTATAAGAAAATATGCAAAATATTCGACAAGCAATTTTGCATTAAAAATTTGAAATGGATAAATATTATATTTTGCTAGATAAAAAAGAACTAATCCCAATTAACCTATTCTTATCAATATCATATTTACATTTTTTAACATAATCGATATCATTTTAGAGATACATTCCAATTTTTTTCTTTCTCTTCCAATCTTTCTTGATAGCACCCGATTTTGTAGCAAAAAATGAACAGAATAAGAGAGAGAAGCTAATAAATCATCACTCACATGCTTTCTTGAAATATTGATGAACAATGAGAGAGAGAAAAAAAAGATATTATATCATTCCGAGTCTATTCTATCCAATCAATCTGTTCCAAAGTGTCATCTATTGCCTAAGGCACTGAACACATAATGAGTCTATCCTAAAACAAAAATTGGAATTGTTAAGGTGCCAGGAAATCCCGAGAAATACTTGCTTCCACTAATAATTTCAATTCAGGAGCTATGTCACATTCGACATTCTTGCTAGGTTAACTTTTTTAAAAGGTTAAAGTTGAAATCTAAGCAAATCTGACAATAGAAAAAAAATCTTCAGTTACCTTCAATTTCAAGTAAAAATGGTTATCGAAATTTTGGTCTTTCAATAAATTATAAATAATTATCAGTCGTAGTAATTCGATTATTTCCTCCGAAAGATGCTATATTCATGGTTATTGAGATCAAATGAAAATTTATTATTGAGATTAAATTAGGACTCCGATAAAAAGTTAAAGCAAAGTGAAAAAAAAAGATCCATACAATTTTCGATAATTTTTTCCCTTTATTTAATTAATTAAATTTCAGCATTAATTATTTGCAAC